GGGGGGGGGGGGGGGGGGGGGGGGGATGTGCTAACTAGGGTTGTACGAGCCCAGTAAATGGGAGAAGGGTAATTAATCGGGAGCCGATATTCTTGGTTCCTTGTCTGTGCAACCACAGATCCCAGAGTCTCACTCTGGGATCCAAGCAGAATCAGTGGCCACACCAGCGAATCATGAAACTATGGCAGCTTCTGGGATCTCAACCCCATCCCCATTTATATGCTGATTAAATCCACTGGCTTCAAGGCAATTCTGCAAGCAGATCTGGCGACTCCCTTCCCACCAGGATGGAAGGAGGCAGCCGGGGCTGCCTCTCTCGTTTGCTCGGCCTGTCGAAGTGCATGGTTGAAATTGGAAGCGGGGTGGGGGTGGGGGGAGAGGGAACCTACAAACATGTTGTGTTAACCTTAGCTCCTGCAGGTGCCAAATGTAGCGTAACTCTCATTTGGAATCTGACCACTCCAGGAGAGTCTGCATTAGCTCCGCGAGCAGAGAGGCACATTTCAATTAATCAAGCGGTACAATTTGTCACGGGGTAGCTACCCCTCCCATACGAGGGACCTTATTTCAATTACCCACCATGTCAAGAGCCCAAAAGGATGCCAGGAGTGTGAAAATAACACGAGAGCACTAGATCCTTCATTAGAAAAGTGCCTCTTTATTGCAACATTTCACTCCAGGCAGCCTCATCATGAGTTGTCCAAAATCCACATATCTTCCCTGTGAAAATATTACCAGCAGCTGTCGCTCGATGTTCAAATTTCTTCGTGGCTTTAAAAAAAAAAATAAAAAAAAATCCAGCAAGCAGCAGCCCAAAATGAGGCAGACAGAAAAAAGGAAGATACCCTGATCCTTTATCAGGGAAATCAACCAGATCTCTCTCCCTATCCTTCCTTCAGTAGATTATAACAAACAAGTATGAAGAACCCTCATGGTTTCTTCCTTTTGATCTTTAAAAAAGAAGAAATGAAAGAAGGCGAACAAGAAACACACATTTCATTTCAGGCTCCTTCTAGAATCCGCGCGGCAGAGTCAACAGCGTTAATGCGCCCGTGTTAATTTGATAGGGTTTGTCAGGTAGCTCCAGTGGAAAATTATATAAAACTGTTCCAGATGAACAGATGATACTGACATGAATTAAAGTGATAGAACAATAGTAGAATATAAACCAGAAATGACATCCAAAGTGGCTGTTGATTTATTGCCATCCAGAGTGTGGTTCTGGGCTTCCATGTATATTAGTACTACAAATCTGGGTCCATTTAGCTGAGAGATGCTCATACATACATCACCGACTGCTGCTCCAAGCCAAGGTCACTTCTCGTGGCATCAATCTTTTGCTACGGAGGCTCCTTTGCTCACGAGCGCGTGCACACACACAAAAGAAGGCAGAGGCTGGGGGACCATCTCTCCCCATCCCGCCTCGCCTTCCGCTTTATCGCCTAGAAAGCACTTTAAACTTCCTATTATTTTTATCGGCAAATTGTTGAGGTTCGCTCCCATCTATTACGGCCCTATCGGCGCATCGCTTGCGCACCTGCTCGTGCGCCCACCTGCTTCTGCAGGACCGCACGTCCTTTGTCAGATTCGTTCTCGGGCTCCCCCACCCTCTCTGAGGGTTTGCTGCCTTGAGCTGCACCAACATACTGGAAGACATAGCGTTGGAGCAATTCTATACAACACTTGCGGGTCAAGCCTGAACTGAGATGCTGTTCCTCGGCTCTAGTCCTCTTCTCTCGTATCAAGAGGAAGGATGGCTTCACCTCCACGGACTCATTGCTCCCCTCTGTCTGGGCCTGCCTCCTCTAATTTCAGCTCCCAACAATGTCTCCAGAATGAGGGGCTCCCAACAGTGCTGAGCCCGAACATCAAGCAGCCCCAACCAGCAGAGGCAATACAGCCCAGGTTGGTTCCCTAAACCTGAATTAATGGCAGGCAAGTTTCCCGCAGCTGGCTGTTCTACCTGAGAAGATTTACTGCATTTCATACACTCCATTCATCACTGCCTCCCTCGTAACTAAAATGAGCCTAGCAACTTTCTAACGCAGTCAGGGGGTAAAGGGGATTACTTTTTGCCCCCACCCCCACCCCGATAGCTCTGGAATTGTTTGGGTGAAGCAAACTTCCCTATTTAAACTGGGCTGTTAACCTTCTCTTCCTACTGCCAAAATCAATTCTGAGAGCGGGCTGCAGAAACAGGTCCTTTGTCCCCAATGCTGTGTCACATTTCATCCCCCATAAAGCACATGGATGGAAAAGGAGCCTCATGGGGTAGAGAAGGAGCAAGGAGGAGCAGGATGGAGGGGAGTCAGCCTCCGGTGGCGCAGACGCCAATCAGGCCACCACAGATGTCTGCATATTGATGGTGTTTTTCTTTTCTTTCCCTTTTTTTTTGGCTCCCTTCAAAAGTAAATTCACAAATAAAGGTGAAGGAATGAGGGCCCCCCATCTCGCCTTTGCACAGTCTGGGAGGATCCCAGCAATCTGCTTCCCAGTTGACCGCACGGGAGAAGTGGTGGACACACACCCGTTTGGGGCAGAGGGGGAGACCTGAGGTCCAAAGAAGCCACCCTTAAAAAAAAAAAAAAAAATTCATAGGAGGATTATAACATTAACACAGATATGGATTTGCCGAGAAGCGAGAGAGGGATAGAACAAGGGAGAGAGGGATAAAATGTGTAACAGCTCTTCCACAAATACAGCAGGTTTGTTCCCTCACTTTGGTACAAGGGAAAGCTATTTGTTTCTCGGCAGAAAGACTCCCTGGGTTAACCATTTGTCTTTGGTGATCTGTCATGACCTTTTCAAGCTCTTATTTCTGACAGATTCCAGATACAAGTGAGTCAAACTTCCCTGGAAGGAAACTATCACCCCAAGATAGTTTGCTCACAAGCAGAAAACATGCCTCCATCAACTCCAGTATATAAATCCTTCCTTAACAAGACAGTGCAAGGAGGGGGCGGGGGGGGGGGGG